AAACGAAGTTTATTTGAAAGCTGCCAGTCGTAATTGGACAACAAAAAGCACCAAATGGATAGAGTAAGTGAGTAAACCGTAAGATGAATGCGTCTGATAAGTCCAAATTGCTTGGCGGTTTCCTTTATTTGCGGGGAAACTAGGGGATTTATCAATAAGAGGCCTATGATTCTATGTTTTTTTAATGCGTATTTTGTCTACTGATAATTGACTGCATCTGTACCATTTCTAGATCGTCAGTTCTAGGCTCTCTGAAAGACCTCGATTTATTATTAGCAGTTAGCGTCAGGATGATTTATAAGCGCAAACAAGTGTGTTAAGTCCTCAAGATACGTCCAGGTAAACTGATTCCAGATATTTCGGACGTGCCAACATTTTTTAAGATTCGATATGCCTGTCTCACCCGTGCTGTTTCCCCGTTGGATACTTCCCTTAATATTGAGATTTTTTTCCTTGGTCATCCACCTGTATCACGTGTACGGGGTTTTAACTTCGTCGATTTGCAAGCTGATTTAAAAGATAAGAAGTGTCCCGCAATTTAATCATGGATAGCAATAGATTAAGAACCACAGTACAATTTACCTTTTGAATAAAAATCCAAGTTGTTTCTTTCTGCTATATTACGTGCTCCATGAAGAAATGAAGGGGACTGGGTTTTTTTTTAGTTTTATATCGATAACTCATGGCTGTAGTGACTGCGGGAACACGAACTAAAGAGACGTATGCCGTGTGGAAACCACCATAAAAGTGGTGTATGTGCAGTATTATTAATGGGTGCTACCGTTAACATGATATAACGCTAAAAGATCTACCTTGAAAAAGGGAAACGCCGTTCATCACGTCAATACAATTACCAAAGTGGAAGGGTTTGTAGCACTCAACCATATCAAAAGCGCTTTTCTTTAATCCTTAATCAATAGCGTGGATTTTTGCAATAAGTGGAATTTTGGGAGGTCCAGATTGGTTCTGTATTTGGCGCCTGCACTTCCTGCAATCTCAGGGCAAAGCACATTTACTGTTTATCTCTCCTTTGCACAAACTGACTTTGGCAAGATTTTGTTACATCTTCGGCCAAGCAATTGAATAGCATGGCTGAGAACTTTCAACAATGTGTTATGAAAGATTGAGTTTTGGTGTGGTTTTTAATTTGCAAGGGTAGAGGCTGATACATACATACATACATATATACAATATGTACTCTTCCAACACATACACACACACACACACATGCCAGTGGGCTTTTTTTATCAGTAACATATTTGAGTTCAGTGCCATATGGGCACGTAGATTACTAGTATGGTGTACCACTACCTTTAAACCTAATTACTTGTGATGTTTATACACCTGTCTATCACATTACCTATCATATACAACCACGGAAAGCACATATTTTTACTCAGAATGCAATGAAAAAGATAACGGTCTGGTTAAAAAACATGTTGAAATATATCCGGAGACATTTGCTTTTCAAAGGAGAACAGCATTCACATAGCACAACTCTGTGTTTATGGATCAGAATATCGCTCCCAGGCGGGGGTGCAGGCACTCTATATGCAGACTTTAATCAGGGTCTGTATAAAAGAGGACCTAGTAAGGTTAAAAAAAATCAGTGTCTCTACATAAATTGCGGTAGAAATTAGATATTTAGAGCTGGAAAACGGTGACAAGTGACAAGGTTCAAAATTTTAAGTTTGAACTTTATAGATAAAGTCTAAAGCGCGCTGCATGCTTCTAAACTGGCGCCACCATACGCTTACATTCATTGGCCAACAAAGAGTTTCAGAATTTTAAGGCGCAACGTGTGTCCCTCCCCATCGACGACGCGCACTGGTTGTTTATAAAACATGGTGTCGAGAGTGCTCTAGAGATAAAGATTATTAAAATTTTAAGACAGAAAACATTAATCGAATAGTTTTCGTGGGCGATTCTATCAGACCACTCGATCTACCTTTTTATTCGTGATTGTATTTGTTTTAATCTTACATTTCCATCCATTAACCCAATTTGCCTCAATTTGGAACGTGATAAGCATAAGTGATAAGTCTCAGTGAATAGAAACTATCCAAATTCACCAGCAAGTTATCGATAGATTCCCTGGAGACGTTTTTTGGTATTGTGAATCTATAAAACAGGGGAGTGAGGGCCAGCGTACCAAGTGACCTGTACTGAATAATTAACCTGGTTTAGAGGCACACAATAAGTGATGTACGTTAATAATAATAATAATAATTATTATTATTATATATAATTATTATTATTATTTTTATTTCCAGGAAAAAACATTTTTCTTTACAAAGGTCTACCTTTTTAAGGCTTCAGGTGCGTTTAAAGTAGTGAGGTGTGTCCGTGATTATTATGCACTGAGACCTGCCTAGTAAGAAACGAGCTCAATAAGTGGTGAGGGTTATATTTTCACCGATACATTTGTCCAGGTTTTTGCTACCCAGTAAATTGTCATTCTAAAAAATTCCGAGCTTTTTTTGGTTCAGTTCAACTTTCAAAAAATTAACCCTAATTGTTTAGATAGTTTGGGGAACGCAGTGCTTTGGTAACGGAGCATTGCTCTTCTATCGTGAACAATGCATGCAATAAAGGAACCATTCCCTTAAAGAAAAGACAGATTTTTTAATAGATCCCGAGGGTTCGACGTCTCGCAGTGCAGTTTTAACAAAATTGCCCTTCAACTTCTAAATATGGTGTACTTTGTGCAATTTTGTTCCATAATCTATTTTGCCTGAAATGTCATGGTTTCTTTTGCACGCGAAATGCATATCAAGCTGTCGAGGAAGATGCTTCATATCTATTCAAACCAGTACGAAGAACCATTTGCAAAATGCCATGGTAATTAGGGTTCAAATGATGAGTGCATTAGAATCGGGAAGGTGTGGGGGGGGGGGGGGGGGGGGGGGGGGGGATCAGCCAAGCGACCGTTATGTCCACGTCAATTTAAACAATACTAGCTATCGACAAGGCCGTTCAAATTTGTATTCATTGCTAAATGACTTGACAGCGCAGCGCAGCTTTGCAAGGAATTGTGAATTTCATATATCTGAATTCTTGATCATTTCATACTCAACACTGATCTAGGTATTCACATCACTGCATTCTTTCGACACTAGTTATTGTTGCAGGTGTGTTTTGCATCGTCGTGTCCAGATTACAAAGAAAGGGGTTCAACTAAGTTCAGCCTTCGTTCTGATAATTGAAAAACATGAGACCTACACTGCGTTAAATTATATATTTAAAGCCGTCTAATGAGGATTTTTTCAAAGCTAGAAATAGTGATGCTAATATAATCTTGGCAGAGAAAATAATTGAGCTAAAACTTGAAGATACACAGTAAATGAGGTGAATTTTAAGAAGCTAGATGCTTGGTGTTGTAATGGGAGACTGTATACTTTGGTGAGTATTGGGTGGGGGGCGGGGGGGGGGGGTTGAGGTCCTGTGGTACTTTGAGAATGATTACCCAGTGCATCTTTGGCGAAATACGAAACTTTGATGGGGTTATGTCTATGGCGTCTGCTTTTAGTTTCCTGAATCACTCTCACGAAATAAAAACAAAAGACAAAGGCTGACATAGCAGAAAGAAAAAAAATGGCTATTATAGTATAAAACCCTATCTTACCCTATCTGACGTTGACATCTTACTAATTGGACCCATATTACTGCTACTGCTTACGAATAGACGGGCCTGAGAGACTCACTGGACGGGTATCCATGATAGGTGACAAAGTCTTATGACATATTCTAACTCTAACAACTGATTTACTGATGGGGTTAAGAGTTTAGAAAGCGATTTTCATGAAGTATAGCTATATTCAAATAAATTGATTTTCTTTATGGTCATCAAAAGACTGATCAGGAATATTTCAAAGCTACAGTTAAAGAAGCCAAGGGGGAAGGTCCGAGTTGGGTCATAATTGTTAAGTTACTTTTATTTTGCGTTTTGGGTTTTGCGATATTATCAAATTTTGTATTGGTTATCCGCTTTGATTTTGAAGTTTTTTTTCTTTTTTTTTGTGGGGGGGGGGGGGAAGGGGGGGCGTGTACTATATTTAGGTCCACACTCTATATCCTGGTGGTTATTCAAGTCAACTGAAACTGACGTTAGAGTCAGTGCGTGACGTAACAAAATTGCGAATATCCAAGAGTAATGGGGGACACTTATTGTACATGGATGATTCAATGTACAACGTGAATTTTGTCTCAGATAATAACACCAGATGACATACAACTAACGATAGAATGTTAATCAGGTTCCAAGCCTTTTAGCACGCCTTGGAGAGGAAATGAGGAGCGCATATATTTTTCGTTTAGCGTTTGGCAACGGGCATTGCCTGGATATCAAGCAAATTTTGAAGTGGCAACAAGTGTTACATAGAATTATTGTCATTTATACACAGCTGTCACATTATGGATCATTTGAACATGACAACTAAATTTTACTCCAAAGGGATCAGTTATATGCAGTAATGAAATTTGTTCGTACAATTTGTCAAATATGCGAATATAAACCATTTTATGCACCTCTGTACAAAAATTTGTTATGTATATGGCATATGGTATACTTGCAAGTATATCAATAAAAGTTTCTGGTTTTCATTAATGCATCTGCGCCATAATATAATAGGACCGAAATCACTGAAACGAAATCCATACCAAGAGCGAATCACTGAAATGAGATTCATACCAAGAGCGATCGGGTTTATGTATAATGTATAATGAGTTTTATCTACAGAAACCGCCTCTTTTTATTAAGAATCATTACAAGGGCTCAATTAGTTTAAATATCCGGTATTTTTGTACAATTCATTTACACTTGTAGTTCACTATGGCGTTATGTGAACCTTTATTACTCTGTTTTTTTTAATAGTGTATTTGTTTCCTGTGGTATGGTTACATTGTCACTTCATTGATTTTCGTTTAAAATTCTATAAAAAATTGTGGTCCGCTGCTGTGGTTGGTTTTATGTTATGACTTTTAAAATGTCAGCTGAGACGATGAAGGTGTGCGGCTTAGGTTGATACAAGCTTCCAAATGGTATTTTTGTAATCCATAGTATCTAATTTTAGGTTCATGATTCCTGATTGCAAGTTTCGATCATGTTACAGCTTATATGGTAACACACGATTTAAATGTCACTTTTCTTTAACATTTCGTTTCTACTAGTACTTTGATGTTTGGTTTCAAATTACAGTTTCAGATTGCCAGTTCCAACGACGCAGCAGCTGAAGGTAACCCTAGATTAAAACGCAATTTTTGTAACCATTTAGTTTTTAATTCGATGTTTCTTTTCTAATGACAGATTCATAATTCTAGATTGCCAGTTACGAGGACGAGGCCACCGCGTACGTGTTGGTGTACTCCATAGCCGACAAAAGGTCATTTCGAAAAGCCTGCGACCAGCTACAACGATTACGGGACGAGGAAAATAACACCTGTCCCATCATTCTAGTTGGAAATAAGATGGACCTGGCCAGGGCTAGAGAAGTATCTATGCACGGTATGTTAGCCATTTAACTACTTTTTCTATCAAGATTCCTATAGCTATAGTCAAGTATATAGCCTTCTCGCCCCCCCTCCCCCATCACCGACAGGGCAGTTTTTCATTATAAAATAATAATAATAATAATAATAATAATAATAATAATTATTATTATTATTACACTGATGCATATAAATACTGATGCATATAACTAGAAATTAAACAAAACAGAGGTGAATGGAATTTAGATAAAAGGATAAATGCCCACTCATAATGTACCTTGAAGAAATCTTGTATAAAATTCAGGGGCGGTTCCAGGATTATTTGAAGGGGGGGGGCGCGCGGATGCGAACCCCCCCCCCTCCTCTGGGCCCACCTGACACCCCCCTAAATCCCCCACTGGAATTAATTGCGAAATATTGGTATGGTTATTTTCGTACTTTTGCGTATGTGGAAATGCTTATCATTAATCACAATATTCTTAGCACTGGCAAAATTTAACCCTTTTAACGGCGGATGGCAGTACAGCAAATGATAAAAAGTCTGACGGCATAATTGGTTTTTCTGGAAAGATTTTGATAGCTGGAGAATGTTACGGTATCGCAGCGCGAGCCAGATGTGTGGGTGGAAGTGATAAAGTACGCTACCTGGATAACTATCTAGAAGTGCTTTAGCCTTTCACTTGCCAATGGCCAATAAACTGTATTCCAAAAATAAGTTGATGTGTTTAACAAGCGAATTGCCAATAAGTTTCGCAAGCATCGGTTGCCATTAGGCTGTGACGCACTCATAAACGGGACGACCGGGTGCTGCTTCGATCTGAACGACGCCACATACATTACAGCACGTTACCTGTACCGACCCGTGAGAATAGATGCACCATGAACCTTGCAGATGCACACGCCCGAACACATGCATGCACGCATACATTTATGACATGTAACTTGCACTACTGCATTGGAATAGATGCACGATGAACCCCGCATTTGCGTCATTCTACTTAAATACAATCGAAGCAAAACCATGCATTATCTTGCTCCCTTCCTCATATGTTATAAGTTATAAAGTCACTGTGACAGGAATGGTAGTCCTAGAAATGGAAGCCCGGGCTCACATATGATTTGTACAGGTTAGGGTTAGCTGGAGAAATGGGGTTAGTGTATAGGACGAATGTCACCTGTACAAAGTAATGGGGAGCGGACTACGGTTCCTAGCGGGCTACATGTACCATTCCTGTATATGTTACAGCGGGTATTGATGTGATTTGTTTGTTGGGTAGGGGCTGGTGTGCACAAGGTACTCTTCTTTCATGCACACATACAGCCCCCCCCTCCCCCAAGCATAACAGTGAGTAAAACGAAATCCTTCCACCCCCACCAATGGTGAGACATGTCCGCATCTGACACATGTAGTCAGGTCAAGGTGCCCTAGACGCCTGACCATGACTATAATTTCCCTCCTATTCTCAATCGCCTAACTAGCCATATCGTTTTTCCTGAGATATTATGTTCCCCGTTTCGTAATATCAAGGAGTTCCAGGCAAATAAACAGTATAGAAACTACTAGCTTCTGTCTACGAACTTATGCTGATTTGGTCCAAATGGTTCACATACTACAGATCTTTTACCGAACTTATTAATCTCGTGTGTGGAAAGTGGTTCTATTTTAAGTAGTAGAATCCGTTCATTAATTTGAAACCAACCCCGCGAACAGACCAGGGGACTTATGGACACACAGACAAACGCATTTAATTGTGTTACTGCAACTATTTGGTGGATTCAAAGAAAAATGATTCAGCACCATCTAAATATCTTTGAATTACGCTCAAAGGATTTCATTATAGAAACCAGCATTGTTTTGTAGGTGTTTCGAGGGCCTCGGCGTGTCTTTCACCGTCTCAGTTCAATCAATTTAAGCCACGTGTGATAACATACCGTGGAAATGACTTGCTAAACTAATTCTCTGGCTGATTTCCAACTTTGTACTATTTTTAGCGCATCCTGACGCCCGTCGCACTGAAACGGGGGAGTTTGACATCATTGCGGCGTATTTTTAGATTAAACCTTCAGAAAAGTAGTCTGTGCCATCATTATACACATTATACACATTTTCATTTTGAATATGATACCCACTAATAGATGCGCCGGTGCTTTGTCAAAAGGTAAAAACATATCAATTTAAGAAGAGACCATCTATTTTAGGCAACACTTGGGTCTATTTTTATCTCGTCCGACACCCGAGGAGCCTCATTAGAATCTTATATTTTTATCGACCAGTATTTTCATAAGTTCTAAAGTAACCTAATCCTCTTTAATTCTGTGTATTGTCGTCAATGGTATATGTCATCTGTGACAAAGATAGCCGACTTCTCGCCTTTATTATACTGGTGCTCATAAGTCAAGTAACACACTGTCTGTATTCTTTAATTCTCTCAAAAATCAAACCTTTGATTGGAATGGATTTTTTTTACAGTAGTTGTATACGTCCTTTGTTGTTACCTTGTATCAAAAGGCCATGGTGTGCAATTATACACTGAGGAAAAATATAAACGCCCCACGCAATACCTTTAAAATGTTAACAGCATTACGGGTTATATATAGGGGCCAATATTACAAAAAATGTATAAATTACATAGGCTTTTGTGGTGGGCAATTCAAGTTGTGATTTAACAACCACACTAAATCATTTAGGGTTATAAATATTCAACGGAAACTGTGCTATCATAATATTTGGAGATTAAAAGAAAGTAACATGAAGTATGACATAAGGTGAGTCATTATGAAAAAATCTGTAACACAAAGGAGGAACCAACAGCTGTAAAACCTTTGTCTATGCAGAAAGCTGTTAATTATGCTTACGCCAGCTACACGCTTATACAAAATGTTTATGAAATATGAAAGAAAAGTGGACAGTATGAACTGGCATTTTGGAAAAAAAAATCTAGGTGTTGCTTAACTTATGAGCATCTGTGTACTGGTGGCTGTAAAGAAGATCAGTCTGACGGTGTTGTCCTTGGTTTAATACAGCGCGTCATTTTGCCGCTAGTTTGATTGAACCAAGGCATGTGAGAAAAATCTTCGAATTGCTTGGTAAGAAATGTGGCTCCAGTGGATTTTTTGCCTAATTTTGTGACTTCAATCACATCAAATACAAAGACAGCGAGCAGCTTTGTGGTGGTGGGGCGGTACAGGTTGGGTGTTATACACCGTATATAATCGAGCATGCAAATAATAAAAAAAATTTTTAAATAATATTAATATTAATAATATTAATATTTTAATGTCTAAAATTCATTAGAATGTTCAGAATATCGCTATCATCAATGCAGTTGAAATGCTTTATTTTTATTCCGGGGTGGGGGGGGGGGGGCAAATTTTGATTTCAGATTGGATTGCTCTTTGCCTCCTACCTATACTTGACAACGTCTAAAGGACCCACCTGTCGCGTGCGTGATTAAAAAAGACCCAGTTGTTTTCATACCAATCAATCATTTCTATGTCAGTGGTCATTTCAATCATATACGCCTGTGGTCGAGCTTCTGTGTGACAGGAAATTAAGTCCTCCTCAAGTATTGTGTTTGCCCACGCCACACCAGCAGTTTTTCCTATCCATCATCTTGTTTCAGGTAGCCGCGTGTTGCATTACAAGCAATTAAATTGCCTCTAAGGTTTGGGTTGCTGTATACATATAACTCCGCAGTAATTGGTCACTGCTGTAAAAAGCTACCTGCAAAAGTAATGACAAATGTTCCGAATATTTTTGTTGATAATATGCACTATTTGTGTTTGAGTGCGGAAAAAAGGATAAACATTGCGAGTTTATATTTTAATACCCCCCCTCTTTCGGTTTAGAAATCAAGTGGCAAGTTTTCCATTTTTAAATGAAACAACCAAAAAAGTCATCGTAGTTGATTAATAGACACAATGATCACAGATGAAAATGCTTCATTTGGTTACTACGATTTCGAATGATTAAATATAAGCAATTTATGCGTCTAATTTGACCCTGGCGTCTGCAGAGAGGATCGACTGCCTATCAGTCGCCATTTTGGTCCAGTTGTTTCATAACTGTTCTCGTCAGTGTCTGTGCTTGACAGTCTCTTAATACCAAAGCGATCAGTTATACGCAAACCAATGAAAGCTTACGTGTGATGACGAATCCCCGTTGCGTTCAAAATAATCATATTCAGGGTTGGGTGCTTTAAGTCATTAGACAGTCTCGCAGAGCACAAATAGATTTGACATTTCTGTAATTTGTCTGTCAGAATCCAATGTTCCAGCGGGTTTGCTGGGGTTTGAGGGACCATCTCCAGGGATTTGAACCCATTAGAATTAACTCACACGTAAACTTTTCTCCCTGACCTCCCCCCTTTTTTACCCGCACATTTATCTTGTGCATCTCGGCAACTGATTATTGACGTATTTGAAGCCATAACAATGTGGCGAGGTAAACTGATTTCGTTATTGGTCGTCAAATCAGTCACGCTGACGGTCTACATTTGGCGCGAAAGTGATTTTGTGATCGACGGAACACTGAGGAATGAATGTCGCGTATGGACTTCTTTGCAAGTGACGTCATTTGCCGAAGTGGGAATAAAGTGTAGGCCAGTCACTGAATAGATCACTGACCAGAGGCACGCTGACATATTTTTCTTATTTTATATCACCATTTTGACAAGTCAGGTAGATATAAAAAAGCATGGCTGGTTTTAGACAACGTAACAGACTGGGACTCGCTTGTTCCCTTTTCAGTTGCGCAGTGCAAAATTTCTTTAATTCAAGCAGACACTTCAGTAGTAACTAACGCTTTGAATCAAATGTTTGATCGGTAACGGATGTTTCACATATTTACTAAGGCTATCACGTTCGCCTGAGAGGAAATTAACCCGTTGTTTACTGACTACCTGACAGTATACATCTTAAAGGTATCCTATCCGGTATTTTCCAGTCAGTTCGAATATGCTTTGAAAAGAAATAATTTTCGCCTGTGGATCATTGCTCCACTTGTCCCTGCACTGGTAATCAACGTTTTATACTATTTTGTATTATACAATTTTGTTTTGTTAAGACTGACATGTCTTCCTACACATTTTAGTAGGTAAAATCGCAATCGAGTGCTTTTTTTGAGGGGTTGTATCGTTTTTTAAATTGAAAAAGCCCAGTAGTGTTTCGGTATATGCACACAGAAAATATGATTTGAGGACAGTTCCAAAGGTGGAAAGTATATCTTGATTTTTTTTCAAAGCGTGAGAATGACATATGCGTTAGGAATCCATACTATGGGCTAATGCACACATAAATTGTTTAATTTTCAAAATTTATTCAGAAAAAAAAAAGATAATACAAAACTAAACAAGTTCATAAGCTTCTGAAAGAAAAAAGGCCATGACAAATGGTTCTATTGGCAAATTTGCTAGACCGGAGACGTATGATAAAACATGGGTACCGCTTCGTCTGTTTTCTTTTGTACATGCGTTTAGCAGTTTTCTTGATTTTCGATAGACGGCGCATCTGTTTACATTCCCGCAAGCACAGGCGAAATGTCGCATACGTTCCTGCTTGTACAGAAGTCATACTGTAAACAGTATTCAATGTAAAATGTCTCAGGGTCTCAGTGGGGTGATTTTAAGATAACCATAAAAAATGAAAAAAATCAGCAATGAATGAAAAGTTAACAGCTTGGATTCAAAAATGACGAGAATAAAGTCTCACGGGTAAAAAGAATATTATTTCAAGCGGGTTAAAAGCTATCAAAATAACGTTGCGATCCATCACTGTCAATGGAATGTCAATTGCTTGAAGGGCACTTTGCCAGAAAGACCGATTTGAAATAAATATCATGGCCAAACGTCTGAAAGCCATCCCTTGCTTTGCAAAATGTTCTCATTTTTGGCTCATCATTCTGAGCCAAGTGTATGAAAAAAAAATGGACAAGTTGAAAGTACCTAGGTTCACCTAAAAATCGCATTTAGGGTCCAACATCTGAGAAAGTTTTGTACTTTGTAAAAAAGATTACCTTGAAACAATCCAGTATCTTGAAAACCTTGATTTTATTTAAATGAGACACATTTTGATAGCAACGACGCGGTCTTTAGCGAGGTGATAGGTAATTCTACTAGTTCTCAAACAAAGTATAGTGTATACCGGTGAGTTCACCATATTATCGTATTTGGCATTTGCAAAATTATACTTAACGTTTGGCTTCATAACCACGCCTTGGGACAGACACAAACGGTTGCGGTCTGGTATCGTATACGCGCTTGAAAGAAAAATAAAGTCAAGATGAAAGCGCGCCTGCAGTTCCGTGGCCATTAAATCGGCAGCTACTCTGACAAATTAAAGCCCATAACGTTCTACACCTGTTCGCGCACCTGGGAAACGTTACCTTCTTAATCAGCGTTCACCGAACGCCATTGCAATATCCCTACTAAAGCAATTAGTGGTGTGTTTTCTGTCTTAGATGTTTTTCTTAATATAGCACGGCAAAGATTATCCCTTGAGATTCCGATCTTGCCGTGACGACCTTCAGATGTTTACCTTTATACGATTGATAAAAAATTGACAGCCTCAAAGTATTGCAATTGCCCACGGTTACTAAGTTACTTTTGACTTTGACTCGGTATTTCTGCCTTTTACGTTGCGGTGTGAATCGAGGGTTCCGTCGTGTTCAAACTGTTTTCGTCATCTCTGTAAATTAACATTGTTAACATTGCTCTGAGGAGGTAATGAGAAATTTATTTTCTGATAGTGAGCTTTGGTTGGGCTTGTTTTACTCGACATAATAGAAATGTAGAGGCACGAAAAGTATTGTGTTCAAGAAGAACAACGAAGACGGTCGAAGTACGGTCGTGACAAAAATAGTTGTGTCGTTTAAAATTTAACACCGATTCAATTTTCCTAAAACTAATTCTTTTATTCAAGAGAATAATATCAGCATCATAATGTTGTGATAAAAATATGGACAATAAACCACCGAAATGGCTTTAAACTAAATAACAATTTTCTCGAGAACGCTCTGATGTCGTGACCACAACAGCGTGTTAAGATAAGAAACTTATAAGTATATAGCATATATTTCCTTGTACGGTTTCTTCAACTTTCTCTGAACGGTTCGTTAGATAATCTCTTATTCACTTCTTCTCTATATAAGAGACGGAGGAGCACATACATACGTGTAACAGTAGGTTTGATACTTTTCATCGTACTTAAGTTGAAGACGTTTCTGTTGTTATAAATATGATAATAATACTTTAATAATATTAAAAATGATATAATGATAATTTATCTTAAAATACATTTATATATTTATTTATTTTATTTTGTTCCAGATGGAAAGATTGCCGCTTCCGACTTCTGCAGCAAATTCGTGGAAACATCCGCCACATGGAAACACAACGTAGACGAACTGCTGGTCGGAACGCTTAAACAGATAAGACTGTACGAGTCCGCGATAGAAAAGGCTGAACAGGAGGCAAAAGCATCAGGCAAACGCAAACAGAAGAAGAAGACACGAAGTCACACGAGTACTTATCGCAGTTTCCGAAGAGCCACGAAGCGATTCTTCGGGAGGCTTACGGGAAAGGGCGAGGACGCCGGAGTGGATAGGACTTGTGAAGACTTATACGCGCCTCTGCCTTCAAAGAACTATTGATAAAGAGACAATTGTACTTGACTTTTCGAAAGTTGAATGCAGCCTGAACCCTCGCCGGGTTTCGGGTGAGGAAAAGAACAAGTGAAAAGGGCGTGGTCCCCTTTCGAAGGCAGAATAGGCCCCACCCCTATTTAAAATCAAAGTTGCATTTTCATTTAAGGCGTTCTGTTCTGACAGAAATGCCATCAAAAGGGGCCCGATATCTGTTCTTGATAAACTATACAATGCAGATGTTTAATCGAATTAGTCAACCATTCTTCCCTGGTGCGTATTTAAAATACTAGTCACGCTTCTGTTGCAATACCCAACTTTCCTTTCAAATGCCTCGTTTTTAAGGCAATGAACTTCAGCCTTTTTAGGGTTTGATACAAGACTGCTATTAGGAAGAAGAATTTTCTTAGAGTGCGGCCACCATAATGAATGTACAGTAAAACAAGAGAGAATTTTTTCTCGTGGATACTTTCTCAATTTTATGTACAGATGTGTATATTGCAAACAACTAACCTCCGTTACTCCCGGTTTTTATACTTCTGGATGATAGCGAAATATTAACATCCAATTGGGATAAATGTGTTTTTGAATTTCCTGGATATAAATAGAGTCCAATTTAGCTTAATTTCAATGACTTGTTTTTGTTTTGTAATGTTTGTTTTCTTCATTTTCATTTCATTGCAAACTTTAAGTTGCCATTGGCACGTACAGTTGGCAGAGTCATGTAAACTATTTTAAATCCACTGTTGTGGTAAAACTGATTTGGTAGTAAAAGGACCGAATTGGAAGTGAAGCCAAATCTTTTTCATATCACTTTTCATTAGATACGGAACACACAGGCTTAGTTTTTTTTTACACATTTAAAAATCTTCAATAACTGTTGAAAAACTAACTCGACAAAATCGCTTTACGTAAAACCTAGTGGTGATTAATCTATTTTCCTTTTCACGATATACAAGTACTGGTAATGGTCCATGAACGGGTCAAGCATATCAGAATGTAGGATTTTCGCCCCCCCCCCCCCACACACACACACAAACACACCCTATATTAAATCAACTGCACAGAATGAATTCACCTAATCAGACGATGGGTTGAAAAATAAAATTAAAAAAAAAACTTGTAAAAGTCACAACGTGTGTCTAATTGAAAAGAATGCAATTACATATTTTAAAATTTCAAAATTTACCAACTGAAAATAAAAGAAAGTCACTTTTAAGTGAAATATTAAAAACATATCATTGTGTTATTACCTGTAACACAAAAGAGTTTTGATTTTTTTTCAAGTCCACGTGTCGCGCAGTACACAAATGCTAATTAAAAACGCAAAATGAAGCGTTTCAGAATTTCACCTGTAACAAAAAGAAATACTGTAAGTGGATTATTATGTCTTCTGTTCAGTTGTATACTGTTCTCGGTCCAGTTTTTTCAATTAGACAAGAGATGTTTTTTCCAATAGTCCAAGGTACGCGCACGGGAACAGTTATGGATAGAGTCAAAACTTAACAAAAGCATGAAGTATAGTAGTAGTTAATGAAATTGTGTTGGATTATAAAGGATAATATAATATTTGAAAAATGTCATTTGAATTTGGGCGAGTTCCTTTTTTATCCACCCGAGATTCATTGCAACAGATGAGCCAGCTTGTACAAAGACAATAATAATTCTTCTCTGCAGCACGTATGATGGTCCCAAACTAAAGTCTGCATGAAGCCTAATCTAGACGAGAGAGACTTTAAAATACACAGGACAAGACAAGACTATACTCTAGGCATAAAGCCTAACCCCCGTCCTAGATTTTGACCCACTTTCATCACGCTGACCCTGTATAGATTCAATGGAGTACGGGCTATCTGTTACACAGACCCTCAGCCCCTAAACACCTATATATAACGACAAATTGTGTTAGTTGAGAATCTCTCCAGCCACCGCAATGTAATCAACTTGACTGCTTTTGTTGACACTCCACTTCCATATTACCTTTGGTGACTTAAAGCACTAGTAAATTACAGTTAATATCCAAGGCAATACTTATTGTTTAAGACAACATGTGTTGTAGAGGTTTGAGATGCAAAAACATGAGAACACGTGTGTCATTTCTAAAAGGAAGAATTATGTTTACTTTCAGAGGTTCAAAAGTCCTAGTTAATTCAGTGCATTATTGATACACTAACTACTATCTGGATCTAAATCTGGTTTCACCACGATCTGTGGTCACCTGTATTGATTAGACTGCATATATTTTCCAAATATAACTTATGTAATCACACCACATATACAAATAAGCACAAAAAGTGCTTTTGTCCTCTTTCAGACATTGACCGCGTTCAGATTTAAACATCATACCATATACATTGATCCAACTCTGCGGAGGATTTTCGCTTAATTGCATTCAGTGTAATCAGCTTAATTAATCAGCTTTCGTGTGTAATCGGCTTAATTGCCCCCTAGCAGCTCGGGGAGGCATGTCTGATATTTAAGCCGATTACAGTGATTTCATTTACGGAGAAATCTCTCACAGAGTTGGAGCGATCCAGCTACTATGATGGGTTTATCTGAATGCTTCTATTAAAAAATTAAGTTCATCAAGTACATTTTTGACAAATGGAGCAAAATCCAATCTTATTTGTGGTCCAGTCTATTGATCGAATGCACTTAGCTTCCTCATGAAACAAATGTTCATCCCACATTACACACAAATAAATCAAATAGATATAGCCTATAAGATGCAAAATTTGAACAAAATATATAATCAATCAAATATAGGCCTACATGTCACTTGAACTCAATCACTCTAAATCCACAAAGCATACAGATAAACATCTGCCCTATCAACGACCTAAGCTTTTATGTCTGGATCCCATAATAAATGTCTTATCAAGGTCACTTTGACAAAATTGTAAATATATGAATCACGTGAATCTGACGTGGTCATATCAAAGTTTGGTCTGACAATGATAGGTCATGTGTACTTCAAACTGTTTGGAGTGTTTAACTACATACAATCATATACTTCATCACAATGCTCTGCCACCAGAGCACTCCTCGCATTTCAGAGGCAACCTCTGATGCTGTGGTTTGAGATGGCCTTCCTGTGGCCATTGAAACTCGGGCCACCTCTGTCCTCAGACTAATTAGGGCCAGATGACTGTATAGATCATATTACTAAATAACTGACGTTATGTTACAACTATATATTACTTCACATGAAATTTAAAAAATGTGTGAGACACGGGTCCTCATCGTATTTGTTCATTTGGTGATAAAAATAAAGAATCTTTCTTACATTTAGTCTGAGGAGCCTTGTCACCTGGCCATATGGTGACACGAGAAATTATTTGTTGAATTCAGTCTTAAAGCACTCTGTATCACCTAGTTTGTTGACATGAATGGAGGGTATTTGTTAGATTTACGCATAGTTTGGCAATGTCTGGCCATTTAGTGTCATATAAAATGCAGACCTCTGCCAAGGCAACTCTGTTTTCATTCTATTTATAAATCAATTAAATAATTAGTTATATTCTCATTATTAATAAAAAACCAAATTATGTGAGGAGTTACAAGCAAAATTGACAATTTCATGAAAATCTATCAATATCTTTTTAGTTAGGCTGGTGACAAACAAATGGATATGAAAACCACCTCCTTGGCTGAGGTAAATGCATAATATACATTTGTTAAATTAAGCCATGGATGCCCATGTAATTCAGTCATTTGTTGACATAAATAAAGGATATACTCCCATTCAGTCACGTATGCCCATGACAACATGTCACTTGGTGACATAAATGAAGGATATTTGTTAAATTAGTCATGGGTACTTCTGTCATTAGCTCACTTAATGATAGCTGTAATGTAAATTTAATTTGGACAAGTTGTGAACAAGACCAGTTGACGCAATTTAATGCTATTTCTTTGCTTCAGTTGTTTTATTTAAGAACAAGGCTAGTACAAATTTATATGAGTAAACCATACACTTTTATACAAAGTTTATTTTGTCATAATATACATAACATCATTACCATGGAATTATGAGTCTTTGTCATTAGGTCTTCAAGACACTGAAATGACTAAGACTCACATGCTGTAGTGTCAGGGGCATATTTTACAGATATGATTAAAAATGTCAAGAAATATGTTTATCTCATAATGTATAAGCATATATTTACATATGATATCTCTCTATTATTTACAAGAACTGTGACAGCTGTATAACCCTGATCACATAAGATAAGACTTATATACAATATATTACATAATGGTGATAATGTCAATGACTGAGAAAGAAATGTTCTGAAATGAGCAAGAGGCAATTCTGAACATGAACTACAAAGGGTGTGCGTACAAAAACACTTTGACTGTGTATAACCCATTGATTTCAAGGTTTAAATTATATCCCCAAAATAAAATTACAAAATAATGTCAAATGATGGTTGTTAATTTAGAATTATATGTTTCATCTGTTATGTTACTGGGCATGAAAAATGTTATCTAAACAACTTTTCCAAATGAGGAATATCTAAAATAAATCACCCTTTCATTAGAGAATCAAATAATTGTCTTACCAACAATTTACAAAACATGACATTTGTCTTAAAAGCTGTGACCGATGTTCTAAAAATTTCATTACTCTACCAAAAATTGAGGTTTCTTTTGCACTTTCCAATGAGCCTACTTGGCATAACTTACAAAATCAATTTATACAGTGTTCACAGATATGTAGGCTTTTCTGAACAGAATAGGGAAGATATTCATAACAATTGAACCCCCCCCCTCCATTAAAAAAAAACACATTACTAAAACTTTAAACATTAGAAATTTCTCTTTCTGCATAACAAAACAGAAATATATATATATGTTGATCTAATCTCATTTAATTTTGCCTCAAGAAATCATAAAGATCTAATGAATCAGATCAGAAGTTTTGCCAGTTCATCTTTTCTAGTACTCTGGCTACAAAGTTCAGATCTGGCTCAAGATTCCTGATACTTCTGGCTGTAGCTACAGCAAAAGTAATATTAATGCAAACCAATGGCACTAACTCTTGGACAAAACAGTTCTCTTTAAAAACTGACTCCGTTCATTCATTTTACCAATTCATGAATTCACTTATCATTCATTTTTTTCTCTTGGCCTGCTCTTTCTGTCACATGCACATACTTTTTTTAGTATAATGGGTAAAAAGTTCAGAATGCATTATCCCCAGAATAGATGAAAGTGCTCACTGTCAGTTATATCCACAAATGTCACAAATGATGAGCTGAACGAAGAGCGATGTGCATCAATTCCACTGAAGGAAACTTTGGTAACACGAATGACACCTGGGCAGTGATCTTATAATGGAACTGAATGTTGAAATTAAAACCTCAGGACGAAGGTGGAGTGGATGCCGTGTATCCGTGGTCCTTGTTCACTGTCTCCAGATTAGCTGTAGCTGGTGCTGTTGACGCCGTTCCTGAATGTGCCATGAACAAGTCTTTCAAAACATTCAGTTCTTGCTGAAGCACCTCTACTCTGTCCTCTAACAGCTTGTTCTCTGCCCGCAGTCCCGAAACTTTCTCCTGAGTCTCCTTGGACTTTTGGCGACTCTTTTCTCTGCTTTTTTTCACAGCTACGTTGTTTCTTTCTCGCTTTTCTTTGTACTCCTCAGAATCTCTTTCCCCGTAGCTCCGTGGCCTGCGTGCCTTGGCTTTGCCTCCACCACCAGCATTCTGCTGCTTTTTCGGTGGCATCCTGGAAAAAGGGAAGGATTTGCTCAAATACAAGATTGTCTAATACATGTCAAAATCAATGTGTCATACTGTATATTGGCACTGCACACTGTACATGGAAACTTACGCTAGTGACAGTCAATATTCTAAAAATTTTAACCTCGATCATAATACCCACACAGGCATGGCAAAGGGTGATGTACTCTGTATATACAGATTATGCAGAGTAGTTCTTCAGGGTGCTGATGATATTTAGCAAAAGAGCTCAAAAGGGAAGGCAACCGTAACTGTATACTTGTAAATGTTGTCACATCTGATTCACGTTGCATCAGCATTTCATCATGCATTACTCCACAATAAAACGTTATTACTGTGTAAAATACAACAGGGGACCGAATTTGACCACATTAAACTCATAACACAATAATAATGTCAATTATCCTAGTTTCTACAACAAAACGTACCCTAAAGCAGCGTTTGAGTCGTCTTCAAACTACCTCGTAAATTTTGACACAGCTGTTTTCTCTAGTGCGGAATACCGGAAACGTAGCAATCGGAATTGTGGGTAAAATTCTGTTTGGGAGCATTTATTATCGTTGCGAGTATTTACACAGTGTCGGTCTCTACGTCAATGCAAGATAAGTACTGAAATGAATGCCCCCTGAGTGAATTGAAGTGTGATTGCGAAATCCCTTATTGACGTCAATGGTGATGTAGGATCCTATTTTTATCCAATTACGTATTGGCTAAATTTAGTAACAAAACCGTCTTACCGTTAGTGATCTTACGCACAGGAACCGAGCAATTTGCCTATATTAGGCTCAATCCCAAATTCTAGTTTTCAGATCCATCTCAATTTAACTGTACTGGGTTATATTTTCTTAACTAGAAGTCATCTAGTCTATAAGAAAAATGCACCCCGAAGCCCGAATTTAGCGGAGTGATATAACCTAGAAATACGTAGGTGATGCGGCTCTGTTGCTTAAAGGTTAGTCGCGGTTTCAGTAGTGCAGCATTTCCCAGCTTACCAAGCGCACTAAACGTGTGAAGCGAGACTTACGATACCACGGAGTCTCAGTTGTTTCCAAGGGTCTGACCTTGACTTCGCCAAGATAGGGCAACCATACAACGGTACCGGGAACACTCCCGATATCTCAGCCTACGAGCTGCTTGAGTTAGATTCGACATGCGGGACAGGCCTCCTAGGTTCCGTTAACCAGCACTCGCCACATTTGTACGAGTTTGATCCCTTCGAGACTTTGAAAAAGGGGACGCAGCCGCAAGGACCCGGCGGCGTGGGCGGCATAACATTCAACTTCGAGGAAGAAGTCCTGGGTACCAACAACGAGGTATCTTTTGATCTGCAGTCGCTTATAGAGGACACCTGTAGTGGTTTTCCATCCGACGATCAGTTATTAAGCGATATCCTAGGCGACTGCAAGCCAAACCTAACTGCGGTCTCGACGACCGGCGGAGCATTTGTGCAAGCTCTCTCCCCCAGCGCAGGCAGTACAGCAAGTAACCACAGCAACATTTCGGAGTCTATGCCTCAACCGACTGATTTGGAGACTCTAACTTCGTGGGTGGTGAAGCAGGAGGGGTCACCACCTCCCTGCGAAGTTTCTACAGCCACGAACACTAGAACCAAGGTTCCCGTGACTGTGACAGAAGCCGATCTTCCTACCAGTCCCACGAATCGCCTCAAGGCTCGCCCACCGGGCAGAGGGAAGAAGAGGGTGTACGAGAAAAACTCAGAGGAATACCGGCAGCGCAGAGAACGCAATAACGTCGCAGTGAGAAAAAGTCGCGACAAAGCAAAACTAAAACAAATAGAAACTGAGTGCAAAGTCAAAGAACTGAGTGATCAGAATCAAACTCTTCAGAAGAAATTAGACTTACTGACTAAAGAACTCAATGTCCTTAAGGGACTATTCATCAACACAGGGGCCACGATCCCAAATGAATATAAAGACTTGCTTAAAGACTTGTGTAGGTAACCCAGGTATATTCGGTGTAGCACACCAGGATTTATTACAATGTACAGACATTACCAGGAGTGATGGTGATAATAATGTAGACTTTTTAAAAACTGAATTTGTCCTCGAATCGACAGATGAAAATATGCAGCTTACACCATGTGTACATAGAACTGATGTACAGAGAACTGTTCATGGTTTTGTAGACTCTGACTTTAGTGTAGAAAATAGTGATAACTGTTCAAAGTGTATGAATGTGCCACAGTGTTTGTCGGAGACAAACTATATAGAAAACTACGTTAGTTTAGCTGACTGTAATTGTTGTACATATTTGTTACACAGAGTAGCACCAAGTGTATGGAAGTATATGAACTTTTTGAAAACGGATGTTAGTATATCAAAATGGGACCTCAGTAAAAACAATATATGAAGTATTTCTAACATAAATCAACGTGTTGTGTTTCATTGCCGCGGTAGACTGCTTGATATAAGTAGTAATGCATTCTTTGCAGACCACATCCTGGAGACCGGTTTTAAAACATTTCATTTATGACGCCCACCCCTACCTAATACCCCATATTATTTGCGTCTATCGTATCTTATTTGCCAGTCAAACAATGTCAGCCAAGTTTGATTTCTCGCGATTTGTACTTGACATAGTTCTTCAATATCGACGTTCAGTCTGATATTAAGATATTAAACGTTATCAGAACTGATTGAGGGCAAGGGGGGGGGGGGGGGGCTGTCGAACATATGACTGTTGCCTTGAGCAGTTTTTCACATCTTTTCTGTTCATTTATTACATTTTAAACCCGCGTGGAGGTTATTTTTATGAAATAATCCAAAAACGCGTGAGAAATGAAAGTAGGGGATTTTCTTGGGTGCATTTGTATTTTCCCTGGAATTTTAGTTTCTCGTGCAGAAAAAGTGTGAAAAGCACCTTGAAAACGGTTATGAGTGTGCCGAGAAAAGGTGGTTTCGTTACTATAATTACGTTGGAGGTCTTCACAAAACTTGAGACAGGAATAGATTTGTCTAATCAATACTGCAGCTTGTACATGTTCTGCTGAAAACTCACTGATTGCCAGAAAATGAATCCTTCGACCGCACTTCCCCGAGTATTGATAATCATTAGACTAAGCCGTCGGTAAACTGGAATTTCAACTGATGTGCCGTGTGTTCTCTGACCACTACTGCTGCTTTCAATTCATTTGGTGCTGTTTGGAAAATCAAGTTAGTGACATAATGATACTCAAGTCATTTATTTGCCGTGAAAAGTGTCTTTAATTGTTGATTGGTCCAAACTTGGTGTAGGCCTACAAGGAATTGGATATGGCAATCGATATTCATTTCCTAGATGTTTGATAAAAAAAAAAAAAAAACACCCCTCCAGTCTTATGATTATCTGTGATAGTTTCATCCGTGCAAAGCAGCCCCCCCCTCCGCCCACACCACGTTTCTCACTGCAGGAAATTTCAGGGGCAAAATGAGTACCCTGGATCCATCTCAAATAAGTAGCAGCAGTCATTATTTCTGTTTTCCTTTTGAAAGCTGTAATAGCGACATCCGAAACGCGAAACCTTCGACATACGTATAGAGACCGCTATGAAAAATCAGGGTTTACCTGGGCTAATTTCACCGGTATGTAGAATTTGTATTGGGGATTACTTGCGTAAATGAAGCAGATGGGTACTATGAAGCGGGTTTATCTTGCTGGCTAAAATTATACGCGCCTAATTCATTTACGCGTTCTATGACGTTCTTGCCACAAGGAGGGAGAAAAAGTAGATGCGTCTTTTAGAAGTGTTGCCAATAGTGGAAAGAAACACCTGCTTTGAATTCCCAAATCAAAGGATTATTACCTGGGTTTTTTATACCGGGTGTCAAAACGGGGACATTATTTCTTTGCAAATCAGTTGGTTGCCTATAGCCCCTTTTCAATTAAAAACTCAATGTAATGATAAAGATGTGACGCAGTTCAAAGATCGCATAATTTTTGTGAATGCCATTATAACTCGTTTCACCAGCTAAACGACTGATGAATACCTCGTATGACACACCCTGAGTTTTAGAGCGACACTGGGAACCCACAGCTGTATAGTCCGCTTGTCTCTGCCTTATCAGATACTGAGCACAGCATATATTATATATGAGGATATCAGTGAAGTGAGTTTTCCAGCGTCATCTGGAACTCGGGGTAGAATCGGTATTTTATGGACTTTGCCAATAGCACCAGCAATCCCTAAATCTATTTTTTTCGATTTGTTTTGACCCAAAGCTACGATTCCAATTATAAGATACGCATGTCCGAACTTGATTTTCTAAATTTCTTGTCGGGCAAGTTTATATCTGCAGATTTTGAAGATGTTGTTACAGCTGTCGATATGTGTACTACTGTTTAAAAATATTCAAGAGTGTGAAAAGGAGATAAATCGCTTTTATAGCATTATATGCTCTCATTAAGAGTAGAAAAGAAAATGCGTGTATTGCTACTCTTCCAGTTTTCAACCTCAATTAAACTAAATATAACACACAGGAATAGCAAGAGTAGGAATCTATTGTAAATTTATTAATCCCCCCCCTCTCTCTCTCTCTTTTTTTCTCTCCAAATTTACATTAACTGCAGGTCATTCCTGCCAATATTTCATCCTCAATGCAAGATTTCAATTTTGATGTACAAGTGATAGAGTAATTGTATATTTGTCCAGGCACTTAATATCTCCGCAAATGTTGACTTTCAACCGCCAGAAAACAGCCCACTGGATCGATGGATGATGGATGATGATGTTGATCCAGTTGTTTGTCCGAAGGGACCTTTATCGAGGGGCCAAAGCTTGATTTGCTCATGAAATCCTAGCTACATGTATTTTGCAGTGGTTGCGTGCTTTTTACTTGAAGGGAATGGGAGCGAATAGTACGAGAGTCCCCCCTGAAATATTCCGTTGGTTACCCGAAAGCAAATTACTGGTCAGGGAGGGTCAGTTTCAATACTTTGAAACCTGGGGTGATGGGGATGGCATATCAGGAGTAGGAAACGAAAGTCACCGCCAGAACTCAGGGTGAAACCTCAGTATACAAGTGCATGTGCACCTGACTAGAATTCCGTTGAATTTATACATTATAAATAATGAACAGATAGCACGAGAGTCTCAAATACACATTTTATTCGTATTCGAGATAGGTTAACATATCCCTATGATATTTGGCTCTGTTGTGGTGTGATTCTGAATGTACAGTTATTGGCAGTGCGTAGGTGTATTTCTGTTTTGGTTTATAGACCCATGTTACAGTAAAAAGATCCCCTTTAACTGAAGTCCAATAAGTGCATAATGTGAGCTCCCTCCTTTTGTGTGGAAGATCGCTAGGTCATCAATTTTCAGCAATGCTACCTTCTTCCCATACAACAAACCTTTGTATTATTTGCAACCCATTTTAATATCAAAGCGAGGGAGATATTTCTTTGACACCTCGTTCAAACGCTGAGAAATTACCCCTGGAAGGAACAGTACATTACATGTGTAGTCACCCATCCCAGTGCATACCAAATACCCCTCTGTCACTTGGGTAGCATCAAGGCCAATGGCCGTGTGACAGGTAAACTGACTGCAGTAGACTTCACAATGAATGAGGATGGCAGGATAAATTACTTAATTTTTTCGTTGTTTGTGAATATACTCTCTCTCTCTCTCTCTCTCTCTCTCTCTCTAACACACACACACACACACACACACACACACACACATACACATTTTAAACCTCCTATATATATATATATATATATATATATATATATATGGTGCTGTTTGGAAAATCAAGTTAGTGACATAATGATACTCAAGACATTTATTTGCCGTGAAAAGTGTCTTTAATTGTTGATTGTTGACTGGTCCTAACTTGGTGTACAAGGAATTGGATATGGCAATCGATATTCATTTCCTAGATGTTTGAAAAAAAAAAACACCCCTCCAGTCTTATGATTATCTGTGATAGTTTCAACCGTGATTATCTGTGATAGTTTCAAGCACCCCCCCCCCCCCCCCCTCGCCGCGTACATCACATTTCTCACTGCAGGATATTTCAGGGGCAAAATGAGTATATATATATATATATCAAATGAACACCCCAGAAATGATTATCCCCCTTTTATCATAATATGAGTTCTAGTGTGGTGGCCTTTCTGATCTGAGTCATTTTTTCATAATATGCCTGAGATGGTTAATTTTTAAGTCTGAACGTTTGTTTTTCGCTTATAGCCATCCTAGGGATCGACTGGACGAATCGCATCCTAACTACAGCGCGTGTGCCTTGAAAGCTGCGTATTTGCATTTCCAAATAACATGAACTTCTTTTGTTTTTGTCACGATGGACAAAGTGACCAAGGGTCATCTCCTGCGGATCTGGGTCTGTGATGGTTTGTTTTTGCGCCCTATTTGCATGCACAAATATTTATTCGTCTGAAGAGTGAATAGAACCCAAGTCTACAAGCAATTGCAGCGAAAAGAGAGAAAAAAAGCGTCTATCAGAAAGCTATGTGTAAAAATAATGTCTTTTTATCTAGAAAAGTAAGTAAGTTTAGGATGCTAATGTCTATCATTCTTTTGCAGTGAAAAAAGAGCTGCACCCTTAACTAAATATGTGAGTATGCCCAATATATATATATCCATGAACATGTATATTGGTCTGCAGAGAGACCAGTAGGCATTTCCTTTTTCTTTCGTGGCAAAAATCCCGATCTCTCATATAGATCGGATTTAAAAGCCATGTAATTACCCATTTATTTATCTCCAACGCGCATGAGAGTTCGCACACGTGTAAACATAAATCATCCAGCTTCCGCCAGATATATATATATACGGACAGTTCGCAGTGCAAGGCAACATTTTACTTGTATCACTCCATCTTTTTATTTTAAAGTGTCTAGAAATTTGTCTTGATTAAATGCAAGATCTCTCAGGCTCGCTCAGAGAGGGATTACTATATAACCACACCATAACATACATATTTCATTAATTCTTGCACTGCGAGGAGCGCTTACAGCTGCGATGTTATCTGTTCTTGTTCCTGCTTTATTAGTTAATCGAAGGGTCAAGCAAATGCCAAAGATCTATAAAGATTTCAATACGTGCGCAAATGGTCCTAAAATAGTAGGATACTTGTGGGTGTTTTCACTTACCTTTACAGTGCGTTCCGTAATACAACATATCGACAGTGTTTAACGGCTTCTTAAAAGCCTCGAGTTTAATGGATTGGGGTGTTACACATTGCTGCAGAACACGGGATAACAGTACTGGCAGATTGGGGGAGGGGGGGAGGCCAAAGATAAACATGTTTGCCTAGGACGTTTTTACTATAGGTTATGTATATATAAGGCACAGAGAAAGGGTGTTTGCTTGGTTACGCTCGTTTGATGCATTATCCCCTTCTTTTTAGGGGTGGGGCTGAGAAGG